AATAGTGAAGCTTGCAAATCTCAGAGACAAAGAGAAAATCCGGAGGGCAACTCGGAACAAGAAGTCCGTAACATATAAGGGTAGAAACATCAGACTGGCAGAAGACCTATTCACAGAGACCTGGCAAGCCAGAAAGGGCTGGCATGAATATTCAGGGTGCTAATGGAGAAAAATATGCAGCCAAGAATACTTTATCCAGTAAGGCTGCCATTCAAAATAGAAGGAGAGATAAAAAGCATCCAGGACAAACAGAAACTAAAAGAATTTGTGATCACTAAACCAGGCTTGCAAGAAATATTAAAGGGGATCCTTTAAGCAAAGAGAGAGCCCAAAAGTAACACAGACAAGAAAGGAACAGAGACAATATAAAGGAACAGTGACTTTACAGGTAATACAATGGCACTAATTCATATCTTTCAATAGTTACTCTGAATATAAATGGGTTAAATGTTCCAATCAAAAGACACAGGGTATCAGATTGGATAAAAAAGCAAGACCCATCAATATGCTGTCTGCAAGAGACTCATTTTAGACCCAAAGACATATCCAGATAGAAAGTCAGGGGTGGAAAATCTTATCATGGTAATGAACATCAAAAGAAAGCTGGGGTAGCAATCCTTACCTCAGACAAATTAGATTTTAAATGAAAGACTGTAATAAGAGATGAGGAAGGACACCATATCATAATTAAAGGGTCTTTCCAACAAGAAGATCTAACAATTGTAAATATGTATGCCCCTAAGATGGGAGCAGCCAATTAGATAAACCAATTAATAGCAAAATTAAAGAAACACATTGATAATAATACAATAATAGTAGGGGACTTTAACACTCCACTCACTGCATTGGACAGATCATCTAAGCAGAAGATCAACAAGGAAATAAGGGCTTTGAATGACACACTGAACCAGAAGGACTTCACAGATATATTCAGAGCATTCATCCTAAAGCAACAGAATATACATTCTTCTAGAGTGCACAAGGGACATTCTCCAGAATAAATCACATACTAAGTCACAAATCAGGTCTCAACCAGTACCAAAAGACTGGGATCATTCCTTGCATATTTTCAGACTATAATGCTTTGAAACTTGAACTCATTCAAAAGAGGAAATTGGAAAGACCTCAAATACATGGAGGTTAAAGAGCATCCTACTAAAGAATGAATGGGTCAACCAGGAAATTAAAGAATTTTAAAAAATTCGTGGAAAGAAATGAAAATGAAAACACAACTGTTCAACATCTTTGGGGTGCAGCAAAGGCAGTCCTAAGAGGTAAGTATATAGCAATACAAGCTTTTCTCAAGAAACAAGGAAGATCTCAAATATACAGCTTAACCTTACAACTAAAGGAGCTGGAGAAAGAACAGCAAAGAAAGCCGAAACCCAGCAGGAGAAGAGAAATAATAAAGATCAGAGCAGAAATCAATGAAATAGAAACCAAAAGAGCACTAAAATAGATCAACGAAAATAGGAGTTGGTTCTATGATGAAAGAATCAATAAGTTTGATAAACCCTTGGCCAGACTTATCGAAAAGAAAAGAAAAAGGACCCAAATAAATAAAATTATGGATGAAAGAGGAGAGATCACAACCAACAGTGAAGAAATACAATTATAATAACATATTATGAGCAACTATATGCCAGCAAATTAGAAAATCTGGAGGAAATGGATGCATTCCTAGTGATGTATAAACTACCAAAAGTGAAACACAAAGAAACAGAAAACCTGAACAGACCCATAACCAATAAGGAAATTGAACCAGTAATCAAAAATCTCCTAACAAGAGTCCAGAGGCTGATGGCTTCCCAGGGGAATTACCTATTCTTCTGAAGCTGTTTCAAAAAATAGAAATGGAAGGAAAACTTCCTAACTCTTTCTATGAGGCCAGCATTACCTTGATCCCAAAACCAGACAAAGACACCACCCAAAAGGAGAATTACAAACCAATATTCCTGATTAATATGAATGCTAAAAATCTCACCAAGGTACTAACCAATAGGATACAACATTAAATTAAAAGGATTATTCACCAAGACCAAGTGGGATTTATTCCTGGGCTGCAAGGATGGTTCAACATCTACAAATCAATCAATTTTTCATTAATATAAAAAAAGACAAGAACTATATGATCCTCTCAATAGATGTAGAAAAAGCATTTGTCAAAGTACAGCATCCTTTCTTGATTAAACCTCTTCACAATATAGAGATAGAGGGAACATACCTCAATTATCATAAAAGCCATATATGAAAAGCTCACAGGAATATCATTCTCAATGGGGAAAAACTGACATCTTTTCCCCTAAGGTCAGGAACATGGCAGAGATGTCCACTATCACCACAGCTGTTCAAGACAGTATTAGAAGCCTAGTCTCAGCAATCAGACAAGAAGAAGAAATAAAAGGCATTCGAGTCAGCAAAGAAGTCAAACTCTCACTCTTTGCAGATGACATGATACTCTATGTGGAAAACTCGAAAGACTCCACCCCAAAATTGCTAGAACTCATACAGGAATTCAGTAAAGTGGCAGGATATAAAATCAATGCACAGAAATCAGTTGGATGTCTATACAGTAACAATGAGACAGAAGACAGAGAAATTAAGGAGTTGATCCCATTTACAATTGCACCAAAACCCATAAGATACCTAGGAATAAACCCAACTAAAGAGGCAAAGGATCCGTACTCAGAAAACTATAGAACACTCATGAAAGAAACTGAGGAAGACATAAAGAAATGGAAAAACGTTCCATGCTCATGGATTGGAAGAACAAATGTTGTTAAAATGGCTATGCTACCTAGAGCAATCTATACATTCAATGCATACAATCTATACATTCAATCCCTGTCAAAACACCATCAATATTTTTCACAGAGCTAGAACAAACAATCCTAAAATTTGTATGGAACCAGAAAAGACCCCGAATGGCCAAAGAAATCTTGAAAAAGAAAAACCAAAGCTGTTGGCATCATAATTCCGGACTTCAAGCTCTATTACAAAGCTGTAATCATCAAGACGGTATGCTACTGGCACAAAAACAGACACATAGATCAGTGGAACAGAATAAGGAACCCAGAAATGGACCCTCAATTCTATGGTCAACTAATCTTCGACAAAGCAGGAAAGAATGTCCAATGGAAAAAAGACAGTCTCTTCAACAAATGGTGTTGGGAAAATTGGACAGCCACATGCAGAAGAATGAAACTGGACCATCTCCTTACACCACACAGAAAAATAAACTCAAAATGGATGAAAGACCTACATGTGAGACAGGAATTCATCAAAATCCTAGAGGAGAACACAGGCAGCAACCTCCTCGACCTTGCCTGTGGCAACTTCTTGCTAGACATGTTTCCAAAGGCAAGGGCAACAAAGGCAAAAATGAACTATTGGGACTTCATCAAGATAAAAAGCTTTTGCACAGCAAAGGAAAGAGTCGATAAAACCAAAAGACAACTGACAGAATGGGAGAAGATATTTGCAAATGACGTATCAGATATAGGGCTAGGATCCAAGATCTATAAAGAACTCATCAAATTCAACACCAAAAGAACAAATAATCCAGTCAAGAAATGGGCAGAAGACATGAACAGACATTTCTCCAAAGAAGACATACAAATGGCCAACAGACACATGAAAAAAATGCTCAACATTAGTCTGCATCAGGGAAATACGAATCAAAACCACAATGAGATACCACCTCACACCAGCCAGAATGGCTAAAATCAACAAGTCAGGAAATGACAGATGTTGGCAAGCATGCAGAGAAAGGGGAACCCTCTCACACTGTAGGTGGGAATGCAAGCTGGTGTAGCCACTCTGGAAAACAGTATGGAGGTTCCTCAAAAGTTGAAAATAGAGCTACCCTACGACCCAGCAATTGTAGTTCTGGGTATTTACCCCAAAGATACAAATGTGGTGATCCGAAGGGGCACCTGTACCCTAATGCCATAGCAGCAAATTCCATAATAGCCAAACTATGGACAGAGCCCAGATGTTCACTGACAGATGAATGGATAAAGAAGATGGGGTATATATATAGAATGGAATATTACTCAGCTATCAAAAAAATGAAATCCTGACATTTGCAATGACGTGAATGGAACTAGAAGGTATCATGCTAAGCGAAATAAGTAAATCAGAGAAAGACAATTATCATATGATCTCACTCATACGTGGAATTTAAGAAACAAAACAGGATCATAGGGGAAGGAAGGGAAAAATAAAACAAGACATAATCAGGGAGGGGGACAAACCAGAAGAGACTCTTAATCATAGAAAACAAACTGAGGGTTGCTGGAGGGAAGGGGGGTGGGAAGTTGGGGTAACTGGGTGATGGGCATTAAGGAGGGCAGGTGATGTAATGAGTACTGGGTGTTATATGAAACTGATGAATCACTGAACTCTACCTCTGAAACTAATAATACACTATGTTAATTAATTGAATTTAAAAAATTGAGAGAAAATGATAAAATAAATAAATGTTAAAAAAAGATGTCTTTATTTATTTATTTGAGATGGAGAGAGAGAGAACAATCTGTACAGAGGCAGGCAGAGGGGCAGAGGGAGAAGCAGACTCCACCCATCCCCTCAGCAGGGAACCTAATGTGGGTCTTAATCCCAGGATCCTGGGATCATGACCTGAGCCTAAGGGAGACACTTAACCAACTGAGCCACTGAGGCACCTGTGTCTTTCTCTATTTTTGTAATTCTTCCTTTGCTTCTGTAATTCTTTCAGCATATGATAAGTTGAGATACTACGATTACATAGACAAAATGTGAAGCTTGCTACCTGAAGAAATATATCAAACAATCTTCTTAACTGTAAAACTAAATAGACATAAAGGTTTTCTAAAGTTGCATAAATACAATCATATATTAGAATATAGTTATGTTAAAAGGACATAAGTGATAACATTATTATGAGCAATAATTATGCTACAGTACATTTTTAACATGTCTTCCTTCAGAGTTTGTAAATTAAATCTGCAGATACATACCAAATCTGTTTTTGGAGGATCTGGACACTCAGTGGAGAAAAAAGGTGTTGAACTTCTGACTCCACTGCTATCAGGAGTTGGCTTTGGAGGTTGAGCATGCTGTCTGTAAGTAGCACTTTTAGGAGTCCAACAAAACAGGTTGATTGATTCTCGCACACAGCGTTCAATGTCAATTTCTAGATAGGAATTTTTTTTTAAAAAAGCAAACATTTAGAATTTGAATTGCTATGTTCATGTAAAAAACACAATCTTTCCTAAATGCATATGTCCAATATGACTAAGATGATAACCAATTACAAAAGATGTCAGTGAAAATATAATGTGCATTTTAATCAGCATATATATGACTACAATGGTGGGAGTATTTTATATTATTATATACCTATATATAGACATACATTTACAAATGTGAATATATACATATATTTTTTGTATATTTTATTTGGTATTACTTACACATATACACACATACGTATATGTACATACATATATACATATACACAGTAGATATGTTTGGATATTTCAGTATATCATTATTTAAAAATCATGGAATATAACACATCTTATTTAAGAATCGGCCTCATTTACTCTGATAATATGGTCAATTTTTCAAAGTAAAATAGAAGTTGGGGAGGGGAAGGCTAGAATTTGGGAGTGGACAGGCAAAAGATTCACTCCACCATGACTTCTAGTAAAGTATACTAAAAGTTTTATTTTTGCCTATCAAAGGAGATATAAAATAAATAGGGCAAATTTTATTAAAATATCAGTTCTCAATTTTTAAAATAATTTACTGAATTAAGTGAAGAAGGCTGTAAGTGAAGTTTCACATATAGAAAAATTGCATGCACTTGGTTAAAATGATAAAAAGAATGGGTCCATTTATTTGAGCAATGGTAAATATAGTGAAATGTATTTTTTAAAAAGCTCTATAACACTATTAACTTGATACTCCACAAACAGAGGAACCCAGACACCAATAAGAAGAAAAATTAAAGTTCAAGATAGGTTCTCTAATCCATTTAAGAAGGAAGAGACATGCTCAATTCATTTTAGAAAAATTCCAATTAATATGGTTAAGATAAAAATTTGAAGCTAAAGAGAGAAAACCCTGTCATTTAAAACAAATTTGATTCATTTAACACTGTTAATCTCCAAAGGAAGAATTTCAGACCATAGGTTTTGCATCTGCAGGGCTCAAATCAGTTTGACACATTTGTCACCCAGTAAAAGCCTGATAGTCAATGATCCAGATCAGAGGTTGTAGTTCAGTCATTAAATCACTAGCAATGGAAAAGTCTGTTGTATCTGCTTCCAAAACATCCTACCAATACCATAAAAGGTTTCCAGTGAATCTTGAGAATTTACTGGCATCTACCCCAGTTCCACCCTGATTATTAGTACTGGCAGATATCCCATTCTCCATTCACTTGACCTATGTCACCTCTCCATCTCAAAATCCTTCCGAAGTCCTTTGTCATAACTAAAATATTATGCAAAAAGTACTTTGTAAATTGTACATCAAAATATGCAATTATTCTTATAAAGTAATCTCTTATCCTAGGGCACTACTGTTTTTTTCTTTTGCATTATAATTTTGATTAATGCATTGTGAATAAAGCATGTAGTACCCCGGATTATGGTTTCTTAGGTTTGATTACAAGCTCTATAAAGAACTTTGTGACTCTGAAAAAAACAACTTCTCTAAATCCTGACTTCTTTATCCTCATCCATTACTATCATATCTCTCAAAAAGAGTGAACTAGTTCCAAAATAATAAAACACATCTCATATTTCATTTGGGCCAGAATAGGTGGAAAAAACATCTCTCCTGAAGACTTCTGTTCTTTTGCTCTAATGGCGTTGAACTGCTCACAAGATCTAGTGAACAACTGTGGTCCTGGCACTTCTCTTTACTATCATCTAATTCCCTTCAGCTCTCCCCTATATTTGATCCCTAATTTGAGAGACAAGACATTATTTACTATTTTTTTATTTACTCCATCATTTTGGGGGAATGCATTTTCTAGCAGCTTCTATGAAAGGGTGCACAGAAGGCAAATTATTTTGAAATCTTCCATGTGTTTTAATATATTTATTTTGCCCTTGACTGATAGAGTAGGCATAGCACTCTAGGGTTGAATTTTTTCCCATCAGAGTTAGGCAAAATAGTGCTCCATTGTCTTCTGAGAAGTCTGATATGATTCTGAATTGAAATCATTTGCATGTGATTTTCCCATTTTCTGTAAACTTTTAGGATCCCTGGTGTTCTCAAATATCATAAGGATATATGTAAATATGTTACTTCATTATGCTAGGTATTTGGTGGTCCTTTTGTAATCGTTCACCTAAAAGAGAAAGTACTTGTGTGACATCTGTGGTAATTTCTTTCTTTTTTCCTCTTCTCTATTATTTTAAAAAGATCTTGAACATCCTGAATTTGTTTTCTAATAATTTTGCCTTTTCTTCTTACTTTTCATCTGCATTTTTGTTTTACTCTCTGAGACTTTTCCTAAACTTTATCATCTAACTCTTTTATTAGAAAGCTCACTGCATTTCCACATCATTTTTAATTTCTAGTAAATTTTGTTACTTAAAAAAAATCTGATTTGTCATAGCTGCAATACCTTCTCATAATTATCTTTCTGAGGATATTCCTTTATTCAGTTTGTGTTGGTCTATGTGTTTTAGTTGGAGATTTTCAATCTATGGTTTGTCAATCTATGACTCTACCTATTTAAAAGAACAGCATTAAAAATCAGATTGGAAGTTTTGTATATGTGGGCAAGTGGGTTGGTGACTCGTAGATTCACTACTGGGTGGCTTGGAGACACGGTCATTTGTTAGAAGGCCCCTAAGTAAGGTATTTCTCCTCCTGGAGACATTCTACCTCTCCAGAGAATAATTCTCTAATCCATCTAAGCTAATCTTTGCCAGCATTGCCCATGAAGAGTTCTGGGGATTCTAACTACATACATCCCCTCACTTCTGCTCTCTGCTATGCTGGTGACTCTGAATTTCAAGATACTTTGATTCTATTATTCCGAAGAATACCCCTCCAAATTTACTGTTCTCATGGTCATTTTTTTTTTTTTGGTAAAACTTGCAAAATGAAGATATTTGAGCCACAAACAGTGAAGACTTCTGTCTTTATACTATTTTTCCCTCTATTAACACTTCATCTTGTGTTAGGCAACATTATAGTGTCTGGGGACACTTTGAGATATAACTAAGAATAAACTAAACTAGGAATAATTAGTTTGGTTTAATGGGATATATTTTTATGATTTGAAGTCACTTCAGGATATTGATAAAAAATTTCTCCTTGATGAAACTCTAGCCAGGTTCCTTTAAGCCCTTTCTTGACTATGCCTCAACTTTGGCTTATAAACACTTGAAAATGCCAGGATAGTCTTTAACAGTTCAAGGCCACATCCCTAGGATGACTGTTGCACCCACTCCCTCACCCCTTTAAGTACCTGCTTGAGAAAAGTCAGGGCTGCCAATATAATTTATTGTTTGTTCCAGGCAACATTAGAAGATAGGGTCTCTGTCTCCCAGCCTCTATGGGAAGGTAGAAACCTAACTTCAGTAAGTGCCAGTTAGCAAACCTAGATGAGTTTCACATGGACCAATGCCCTCCTTCACACTTTTTGTAATTTTTCACTTCCCTGAATCTTTTGAGCACCTCCTCACCCCCAGTCCCCACCTATTCCCTCATTCTCCCATTAAAATGCCCAGTTACCTCTGTACAAATTGTTCATGCTGGATTCTTCTTTATTGTAACAGTATATTACTGATTAAAACCTGTCCTTACCACTTTAACTAGTATCTGGCTTTGTTTGATAGTATAGTAAAGTTATTGCTCTAGAAGTGACTTCCTGAAATACTCTCATCACCCACTAAACAGGTGCAGAGGTTGTAATGCAATACGATGTGTCCCAGCACCAGAAGTTTACGGTTAGGAGAAACAGTTGAAATATACATAGCGAAAAATCAGACTTAAAAGTTCTTCCAAACTTTAAACACGTAAAGTGTTGTAAGCAGAGAATCTGGTTCTCATTGATGCCTGATCAAAAGAGAAATACTCTAGGAATACTTGTAGGAATATAACTGATAATGTTACATATACAGTTATAAGTGCATCATTAACTTTTTTTTTCTCTTATGATAGGAATTTCCCAAAATAGCATTTTTGTGTTTGTTGGAAAGAAATCTGTAGGACCACGACAGGATGGTATTACCTGTGTTAAGTCATATGGATTATGCATTCCCACTATCAATAATAAAAAACAAATTTCAACCAACACTGCCAATAGAAAAACTAATTATTTTTTGTATAGAAAATATGTACAATTATTGTCATGTGATGAGATCATCAATGAGTATGAAGCAAAAAAGAAGGAAAAAATATAGAGGTATCTGACATTTAATAATTAAAATGTTATTTTTCTGTTTTGTAATTTGTTATGCTCTCTTTAGTCATTCTCAATATTCTTTTAATGGTCTAATTTTAGACCCCCTCAAATAAAGTCTGTTAATTAAACAAACCAAAGACCATTACAAACCAAAATGGTCTTTTAAGGGTCTAATGTAATGTAATCTTGTTAGAGAGGGCCACTTCTCCATTGTTTAGGCTTCAGGCCCACACAACCTGGATCTTCCCCTATCTTCCAACCTTCTGCTAGGTGGCAGAGGAGTAGACTGTTGGCTAGCAAGGTGGGTGCAAAGATCTACAGGGGTGGGAGAAATGAAACTACTCTTTATGCATACATTGAACTCATTCTTCTCTGTTTTTTTTTCTGCCTCATTTTCATTCACTTTCAATTCCTGAGACTTTCTGGTGCTCTGCATCAAGAATTGGCTTGCTTCTTGCTAGTATTCTCCTTTATAGAAAGGTTTCAATTGTCTTTGCTTTTTATGAAGTGAGTTACTATTGATGTAATTGTGTTCTATCTTCTCAATTTTTGTTTTCTTGTCTACTCATGTTCTTCTTACATTCTCTTTGTTCTTAGAATTATACTTTTTTTATTCCCTTACTGTTTCCCTTTAATGATGTTTCAGAAGGGAGTAGGAATAGACATATGTGTACAACCTACCATTCTTAATTGGAAAGGTTTCAAACTTTAAAGGCTCTGGTTTAAAAGGGGTGGGAATGAATTTAGGAGATTAGCAT